AAGTTAAGGCATATATCTGCGAATCGTATTTGCACACATTAACTATGCTGTGACTGGTTGGTGAGTTCCTCAAGGTTAAGCTTTGTTATTGTTTTTTCCCATGACCCTGATTCGGACGTAAACATTGATGTAAATTGTTGTCTACAATTTCACCTTGCAGACAGGTCTCACCACAGTCTTATTCTGACGAATTTAGTGTCACAACTCGTACGTACTTCGTCGAAGTACCTTGGACAGGTATGTCCCACTGAACGCGTACACTCCAGTAGTAGGCATCCTTTCAAGCTATGTGCTTTTGGATTGCACGCAATTTCTGAGTGGCCAACAGAGGTAGAATTTCAAAAGTTTGATTACTGAACAAAAGATATGCTTTTCGATAAATTCATCATCAGGTTCTACAATTATGTATCCATATTGCATAAAATTCTGTTGAACAACTCACAATCCTAAACCTGCGTAACTGTTTCACATCCAGTTAAAGCTTGCCTCAAGTTGACAGCCCTCTTTATAGTTCTGCCAGCCACTCCTAGTGCAGTTTACTGGCTGCTGCTGGTGCCTTCACATATTAGAACATTTCAGAAAATGAAGCTTCATTAAACGCAGTTAAGCTTCAGAAACCAGTATCACTGATGTACATTAATGGCAACTTCAGCAGGTGGATGTGGTCACCATTTAACAAATGTTAACTCTGGGGATCTGTACATCGCCAACACTGAAGCTGAAGTTGCAAATGAGAGCGTTAACACAGGTTCAATGTTTTCCCCTCTGAAGGTACTGAATAACAAGTTTCTACCTTTGGAAAGACGTACTGTTTTGACACGGGTCTACTCAGAATGACTAGGTGGATTTTGAATACTTGCTGATGTCCCACTGCTCACTGTGGGGATGTATTTGCGAAATCAATTTGTCTTATTTATAAATCGGTAAACTACAATTAATTGACAGTCCCTATTAAAGGAAATCGCCTCTGAGGGTTAGAATCCACCTTTAGTTAGAAGCAGTCAGCAGAAAATTGTCGGAACTCGAATGTTATGTATTATACCCCGACGAAGGGGCACTGAAGACGTCCAAAGAAAGTCGACTGACATTAGGAAAAGTAAGGAGAATCTGAATAGATTTGGCATTTTGTTGAATGCTGAAACTATTTAAGCGTCGAATAGCCCTTGGAAATCTGCGCTTCCCGTGGTGCCACAGAAGGAAATCGTGATTGCTAACCTGCTAGTGACTACAGATGCCTGACTGACTAAGTTTTATTGAGAGTGGTAATTCCGACTGCTTACCTACAACTTGGCAACATCCGCACCAGGCACAATCATATTTACCATGATAAGCCTAGTTAAAGCTTAGAGTGGAATAGCGATACTTAAAAGATAGCATGGTCCTTCACGCAGTGTCGCACATCTTCCCCGGCCACACTGAAGGATTCGATCCAGATGAGTAAATTAATCGTCACGAAACAGATCCCGACCTCAACACATGTCAGATCTTCAAGTTCAAGTAGGGAAGTTATTTTTGTGACGCGTTCTCGGGCATTCCTTTTTGCGCTGTGCCTGGAGATTACAACTGTGAATTACTCAATTATAAGGCAGTTAAAGTGTCAGTAAATTGCGTAATGCGTATTTCCCTTCATAACATATAATAGTAAACATAACTATCTGGCGATCGCAATTGTGTTCTGTCGTTACAAGATTATGAGTACAGAACTAATGTTTCTATGGTATTTGTCCGAAAATGAGATCATCTGGATTGGCATTTAATTGTTCATCCGATATGTTTGGACAGACACAGTGCAGAAGACAAATGTGTTCACTTTTTTACTGTTCTAGGACCTGTATTCTCGTCGAATCACTGACACAACTGTCCAGACGGTAATGTTTGCAATATTCTTCTTTCCAATTAACAGTGACATACAAAGGGGGTAAGCATCCTAACGCGGGAAAATGTCCACTTAAGCTAGTGTATAAGAAGATAAATTTATGTTTCAAAGCATCACGGCTTCCATACTACAGTATATCGTGGTGGATTTGTGGCTGAATATTACTGTACGTCAGGTAGTCGTCGCTAATATGCTTCTTCTGTCTATGATCATATGTAGAATCCTTTATCCAGGGTTCAGAGTTATGCTCCACACTGTGACCAATTCGGGAATGATTATTTCAGTGGGGGAAGCACTTTTCTTGCCTAAAGTAACATAGAGTTTTCCAGTTTTATTCGAATTCAGATGAATGGAAAACCTCAAGTCTTTTTAATTCATTTCTTGCATCTCAGTGATTTTATCTAATCCTTTCTTGGTTGACTGCATCAAGGCCTTGAACACCAGTTATACTGAGAATTGGTTTTAGATGTCAGTGATTTTCCAGGAAAACCAGTGCATCGTAGCTATATAGTTCTGAACCATTAGAGTTTGTCCTCTGAAAAGAGAAGATACATCATGTCTGTATTCATTTCTTAGCCTTTTTAACGTCAGGATTAAATCTCCTCCGCGCATAAAGTGTGCTTATGAGAAGAGATTCAAGTTGTTGATTCGCCCCTCTGAATTCTTTCCAGCAAATATGAGTTGAGGACTGGCTACCTAGACGCAGGTGACTTTACTGAAGTCCCTACGTAATTTCCACAGTTATCTATATCTACTAGCTGTGACTGAAAGACAGTAGACCGCAGTTTTTAAGTAGCAACTTACTGTGGCTCCCAGATTCATGTGCGTCTCTAGTGAAGGGGAATGTTATGCCCTATAAGTCTGTTGGCTCTTGTGTGCCCGATACACATGGTGGTGCAGTCCGCTACCCTGATGAGAAGCAATCGTTCTTTAAAACAACGTAACAAACTATTGAGGTCTGTTCGCATCTTAGGTATGCCACTGTATTCCTTCATTTCTTTCCAAGTTTCGACATGACTGAAACTTACTGTCTTCTGCCCACAAGGTGTTCCTCAGTGAACTTGAGCAGGCCACAATCAATCCCGAATTTTTCGGCTTGAAAGTAAGTCTAGTGAGGCGCTTTTTGGAAAACATTGTTGAGGTCTGTAAGGACAATGCCAATGGGTTTCTGGTTATCTCTAGATTTGTCATAGCTTCCTCGAATTGTGCGTTAAATAAAAGTCGTTTATCCAATATAATATAATAACATTAGGAATCATTCTTTCCAGTATCCGCATCAAAGTTATGGCAAGACCAATACACCCGTGGTTTGAGGGACATTGACCTAACCTTCGTTTGTAAATAAGGGGTTACTGCTGCGGCCTTCTGACCAGGAGGTAACACTCTGTGTGATGCGGATAGTCTGTAGAGAATTGCCAGTCGGTCAGTCATGTGAAATGCCAGATGCTTGTGAGGTCTTAGGTGAAGACGGTCAATTCAAAATAGTTGGAAGACACTTCAGGTGACGTCAACTAAGATCGTCCCATCCCCTTCGTCGGGTGGATAAAGCTGATGGGATGAGTGATTTCCTAGTCCATTTCGATTGTGTATTTATTAGCAGGGAGTTTGCAACTCAGTAAAATGTCACGTTCCCGAGGTCCATGTACGAAAATGACTTCTCGGGTTATTTCATTAAGGTTTAGGCCGAAATTAGTTTCGATTTCGTTGTTGCTTGACTGAACTCAGGCATAAGTGTGTTACTAGCTGTAGTATACAGCGTCTGAAGTCATTAGGGTAGTTAAGCCCATTTAAACCCCGGTGAACTAATAATAATAATTTATATTTCGCATAAACGGGTAAGTTTACAAGAAATGTATGCCATTTTTACAGGCCCGATCAGTTATTTTATAAATTACAATCCTGAAGTATCATAAATTAATACTTCTTCAAAAGTTTGAATTGTTCAATTATTGTACGAGCAATCAGAACAGGTTCTTATAAATGTTACATTGTAAACCGTTTACTAAGGTCACCATCAAAGTTGAGCGACAACTCAAACTTCGTTCCGTTTCCTGCTGATAGTCATGATCAACCAGTTAACAGCGTATATCTGTGTGAGTGTTATACCGCCACGTGATTGAACGCTATTTCAGGAGGAGAAGAAACTTCTGAGCGGCTGCAAAATGGTATAGAATGCAATTATGAATAATACATTATTGAAAGTATGTTTACTAGATAAATCCAAGGGGAAGAAGCTATATAGTACTTGAAATGATAGTACACATTTGCAATGTTTAATGCTAACCATATTGGTCTTAGCATGGAAAATACGATGTTTTCGATGAAGATATAGCTTTTTTCAGACATTGTTGTCGTCATGATTTTAATCAAAGCAACCAGACTTTGGGCAAGCAACAAATATGAACAAAGAGCAAGTGTCAGCTTTAATAATGGCAGGGTTAGTTAACATAAAGTAGCGTATAATAGTGCGTAAATAAACAGATCATCATGAGGTAGATAAGTGATATTTAAGTGAGGAGGGAATTCAAAGGTCTGGAAAATTAGAACTCGTACAACAAGCTGACCTGTAAGATGCCTCACGAATTTCTGTGGGGCCCAACGAGTAGCATCTTGACAGGAAGCTGAACAGGCTTGTAGGTGGCAGGAGCAAAAGCACTTTTTGTATTTATAATTTAGATCTGTACAACCCTTACTATTATTTTTTGTTGAGGGTCCAGATTAATGTTTAATTCTCGAGCTGTCAAAAAATGCATGTTGCTGTCCTCCAGATTGGAGCGATTCACAATTGTGACCACTACCTCCCTACAAGAACACAGTATTGTGAAAAACCATGAATATCAAATTTTCAAAACTGTTTGACTCATGTAAGGTGTATATTTCAGAGATATTTCAAAAATTATCCATAATTGTATATTAAGTATCTTTAAACGAGGAGCAAGTTATACTAATGGAAGATCTATTATTGAATCTTGTTTTCACAGTAAGTTACAGCTATCCCTAGGGTGACATATACCAAGAAAAATCAGAATTTTCGCAAGGAAAGTAACTGAAAGAAGCAAAATAGATAACTAGAATTCAACGTTTAGTATTGAGCACTGAATAAGTATTGGACAATTGAAAAGTGTTGACCTTAAACAGCTAAACAGCATTTCCGAGCGCACCTTACGTTTTCGTTTCTCAAGGGTTAGTTCCTGGCATTATTTGGTTTTATGTCGTAGTGTTACAACACTTATTATGTATATAGTCCTCGGAATTTTCAAAATTTTTTGTTATTAGGTGGAAAACATGTCCGTACTGGGGTATTTATATACTGGTATTCTAAGAAACCTTATTGCGAAGATGTGCATATTTAAACCTTTGTGTTGGACCTTCGTGTGTATTCGTTTATCGTTTTGTCTGTTTTTATAACGCGACAAAACCAGAAGTCTGTTCACGTTTGATTCACTTTTTCCAAGGGCAGGCTTATGTAGTCACTGTTGTGTCTATGCATAGATATGTATATACATGTGTTTATGCACACGTTTATTTAGACTTCTCCATATATGGACAAACGTAGAAAATCATCGTTCAGTAGTGTAACTATAGGTGTGTGAGTGTTTCTTAGCAAAATGAGTTGCGAAATCGTTCCTAGGTGTGTTCTCTTTGAGTTAAATTACGTATCTGTAACTTAGAGATGTCCTATGCAAAACCTATTATTATTTCTTATCTAGTAAAGTAACTAAGACAGCAAGATATTTTACAGAACGGTATACTTAATGGAGATATTTTTAGTGTCTAAGTAAAGATGCTGATTACTTACGGCATTACGAAGTTTCAGTTTGTTCCGTTTTATTGGTATTCTCGTGAACTGTACGTTTGCACTACATAATATACGCCTACTCAGTACGGAAAAATCCTTTCCTGTCGCTATTTTCTGACTACTGTGTTATGTTTCCTTTCTCGTGGCACCTGAAATTTACACTATCTTAAGCATAGTATCATGTTAATTTATCAGCTATGCTGTCTACCAGATGTCTGCTATCACCTAGCGTACTTCATTTGTATGAACTGCTCATTATTCACCTTATATCCCACTTCAGGACTGTTCTAAAATAATTTTCTTCAAATTACTAATTTTGTTTCCAGTCTTATTTCACGTTGGTGCATATACGGGTATGAATTATGCCATGGAACCCCCAGCTATGAGCACCTACTTGTCGGATAGTGAAACAGTTGGGGAGTCCACTAACCTTCTACATATAGAAGGTCATGATTGGAGTCAACTTCAAGATGGGACCATTGAAATAACTGATCGATTGCCCAAGAAGGAATATTATATGAGCCTTCGAAGATTTAACAGCACAGGCCCAGCCTCTGGTACCGGACATCGATTGGGCAGCATTTCTAGTGGTTCAGCTGCTGGGCTAGCGAATGGATCTTCTGGTTTGCTTGGTGCTAGTTCAACGTCACCTCGACCGGGTGGTGGCACTTTGCGTGGGTCTTCACATCCTTCAGTTATTGACTTTAAACCCTCTGGTAAGATGGTGGACTGTACAGTTGTGATGTTGGATGGAACAACGAGAGAGTTCCGCTTAGATGTGAGTTTTGTTTGTATAAGATCTTATATTAACGGTTTTTTCTGAGCTTTTACCGTCATAATGAGCGTTGATTTTGTATTTGGCAAATATAAGTTGGCTTCAACTTACTAAACCCTACAATTCTCCATTTTGATATCCAAAGTTTAGTAATTGTATTGTATTAAAAATTTCGCAAATATTTTTGGAGTTGTGAATATGGCGTGCATTCTGAGTTAGTACATAAAAATGCGGCTGTGATACATATATTTGATTTTATACACACAAATGTTTTACAGGACCATTCAGTACTCATTTGGAGAGAAATCCTTTAAGACATTAGAAATGAGGTTTCAGGTCAGCTGTGGCACATATCATCTGTGATAAAAGCATCTAAATAAAAATGGAATTACTTCTGTTTAACGAATTTCATAGTGACATGAAATTATAACGTGAGTATCTGAGAGACGATATATGAACGGTAGGATTTGAATTATCATTTCGGATTGTGAGGGCGATTTTTACTTCCCTGCTGCCCATACCATGGAAGTTGGTTGCGTGACCGCAGAGCCCAGGGGACATCTGCTTGAGGCGGGTCACACGCGGCCTGTTTTTGTTTGTCCTTTTTCATATGGTGTGTCTCAGTAGCATATTTATCACTTCTGCCCTGTGACACGGCAGCAGGAAGTGCGGTCGTTGTTAATCCGGGCCCCGACCGATCTGGTATGATATTTTGTGATTTACTTTGAGTCATAGCATTGGGTCGAGTAACTGCTTTTTGTCTAACCGCTATCCAGACAACCTTTCTGGCATGGTAGGACCTCAAGCGACATAAGTCTCAGCCTGTATAGCTTGTTGGGTCATTGTGGTGTTCAAGCCCGAATACCACATCAAGGTAGCAGATTTCGGTCGGGCATTTGATAATTTGAATTATCAGGCAGACTGTTTAGTTAGTATTCATGGATACTTTAACTCCTAATGCTTTTGGTCATCGATAATTCCTAATGACATAAATGTAGTTTAAGCAAATTTTCAGGGGATTATATTGATGCCATTTCCGTAATTATGCCTCGATCAGACGATAATCCCGAAGTTTCCAATGAGTTTTGACTCATTGTATTTAGTTCCTCACTGACATGTACAAAAACTTTAGTATTCGCTGTTGGTTTAGTTTAGTAATTTTCAATTAACATGCTACAAGCTAATCAATCCAGCTTATAGAGCGTCTGAACGTATTTATCGTCGATGGCGTAACTGATTTCATCAAATAAAATGAATGAAACCTGGACGTACAATTGAATCAGATACCTAATATCTGTAATCATCGTCTGCAGAAATTCGCTACTTTTTTAGACGCTTAATTCTAATTAATCGCCGAAGATCATTGGTGCGATTGATCAGAGTGTCTCCCATACTTCAACTAAACCGTATTAAATTTGAAAAATTAAATGCGATTGTCAAGCGTATCGGTAAACGCCTTCTAATCACAACTCTCTTTTCATAGAAACATCTAGTGAAGTACTAGGAAACGTTACCAAACCAACTCTCTATGACCTTCAGAATTACCTGAAAATGGCGCCTACACGGCTGAGGTGATCAGTCACGTTCTCTGAAATTTTGCTTGGTAAATTTATTTTATGAATAAATTTTAATAAAAATTTGTTCTATTTTTTCTGGACTGATAGGAATTCTCATTTCCTGACTAGTTATGGTGGTGTTCGCTTCTTGTGATCGGACTGTGGCACACTCTTAGCAAATTGGTTGCAATGATTTCGTTTAAAGTAAACTCAATTAGCGTCAAGTTGATCTGCAAGTAATCTTGATTATAGAACGCTTTAAAAGTGGGGATATTTCAGGGTTTATCTTGAAATTTGTCCATAATCCCCTATTACTGGAAAACATACAGGGTCTGTTTATGTATGTGGCATCAATATAAAAATCAGCTGTGGACCACAGATACTTTTATTTGCATGAGAATTTTACTTAGTACTAGTAGGATTAGTGTATCCACTTTGCATTTGTCTGTTCTACGACAGCAAGCCAATATCTTTGTTATGAATGCGGAAGTCAGCGTTATCGGATATCCAATATCTTTCTGACAAGCCCCTATCAAACTTGATGCTCGCTTATTTATTGTGAACGGACTCCAACAAGAACTATCCTGTTAGGTGCCACAGATTTCTTGAATGCAATAAAAGGAGGTACATTATCTCACTTTGGTGTGAATGCATGATTAGTACCAAAAATGTAGCAAGGCCTTCATATGAATTTTTTGTCAAGGTTCACACCCCCAATTTAGGAGTGGCAATGCAGTCACACTATAAAATTCTACACATGGCTTCACATTTCTTCGTACACCTACACCAAAGTGTCGGTGGAGTGATCCAAGCTGCTTATGCACGAAGTAGATTGCAGTAGTATCTTGGCTTCATCTACACAGTTAATACTTGTTTGCCACTTGTCCACCAGGGGTAGCTTGAAATTGCGGAGGCAGAGAAAGACCGACACTACACAAACAGCATAAGGACCTTTATTCCACTGGTGTACGGATGAACGTCGCCCATTTTCCGGGGTTCGTTAGCGCTGAAAGCTAGCCAGTTTTCTGTGGCTCAATTCTACCTGTTGGTCAGATCTTCCTGCAGTTTGATCACTTCTTCCTTTTTATCTCACGGCCCTCCAAAGCCCATCTACAGAAAATTCTGAGAGCCTAAGTTGTTTGACAGGTCCCTTGTAAGGATCCAAAATAACAGTGAAACTGGAATTACTTCTTCAAATACTACAGTGGTTCCTTTTCTTCAAGTGGAGCATGCTCGGTTCTCATTTGAGCTAAATCCAATGAAATACAGGTAAACTTCAATGCAAAACAGCATTGGGTTGCGAATTCCCATTTCCAAGACTTTCCATATTGGGACTTCACGCGACATTGAATCGAAGGTTTCCGCAAGGTCTAGAAGTAAGACATAGACAGGAGTATTATAGCTCCAGCATGCTTTCTTTTTATTCCAAATTTACAGCAAATTGGTAGTGCAGAAACACGCATTACTGAACCCACCTTGGGCTTTGGTGTAGGATGATGTTATGGTTCATATGTCTATTGACGTTACCGTGCAGACTGCTCTCCATCAGCTTTTATTTTATAAGTGGTACAGCTGGAGATCTATAGCAGTTGTGGTTATTTCGGTCCCTCTCTCGAAACGGGATGATAAGATGATCTTCCAACCTCAAGAAAACTATGGTCTGTACAACGAGTGCCCAAGCAGCGTACTCTGATGACGTCGTTTCATCGGGGCGTATCTCGACGTGCCATTTTTAGCTTCTCCAGAACTATACTTGGAGTTCTTCGGAGATCAGCAGTTGTTGGATATTTGAGTGCAATCGGGAGGAAGCCTTACACCTAGGTTTTGAGAATGTTGGCCCTGGTCAACAAGGCGTATCTCCAACCCTGGAGGAATTCATGTCTTTTCAGAGATCCTAACCCGTGCCAACCAATGCTTCAGTCAGAGATATGAGCACTGACCTAATGTAGGACCGTACTATATACTTTGATCGGACTGGTTTCATTTAAATAGTCCTTTATTTGCGCCAGACTAAGCTCCATGAGTTCACTAGTAACTGTGGCCAGGAAGCACGAAACCATGGGTAGAAGGCCTCATGCCGATTGCCTTCAACCGTCTAGTAACGACAAATCTGAGTGCACTGTGATGCGGAGCCCACTAAAATGTTGTTTGAATTACAAAATAGACAGATAGAAATCAGTCACTCGTAGGCTAAACGCTGAAATAATATAATGTAGCATAAACGGACATATTCACAAGATATGCACACAAAATTTACAGGCATTAATAGCCATGCCAAAAACCACACTCGCCAAGCATCATAAATCAGAACTGAATACAGCGTTTAACTTGCAAAAGTGTAATGCATGTATTCAGAACAAAACATCGCTAAGTTAACTAGCCTGCTAATTATCTAGTCGGTCGAAAGCCCAGGAATGCGACTAGCGAGCACTTCGGCCTCCTTTGAAAAGACACTTAATAACACACTAAGTGAGTTTGCAAGCGATACCAGTGCCAACTCCCATGTAAGAGCTTCAGAAATCATAGGCCCATTTGATGTGTGAACTTAAGGACCACACCCGTTGTTTGTTTTGCCTCTATTTATAATTTCAGACGAAAAAGCAGCAGTCATGACAAAAACACCCATACAAATAAGAGTCGACCGAATTATGCATCCTAAGAGCATCCTCGATTTACGCGTCTGTGTCGCCACTTGCTCGGAAAATGTCAAGTCACTAGAGTACCTGAGTCCTAGGTCAACAACACTTTGGAGTTTAGGCAAGTCAAGAGATTCAAGTACCAGTTTAATGTTTATTGAGGGTGCACCGAAACAGATCCAACCACATTTTTTAAGGTTGAATTTTAGGTTCCATGTGGAGGACCATGCAGTTACTCTATCTAGTTCTTCCTGAACAGCTTTCTGAAAGTACCCTAAGTCATCACAGCGGAATGTGTAAGCTACTTTAAGATCATCTGCAAAGATGAATGGTTTGCCAAGTGAGAAACAGCTGCATATGTCGTTGACATATAGAGTGAATAGGAGAGGGCCTAAGACGCTACCTTGAACTACTCCAGAAGTGACTGGACTAGGTTTAGAGTTTACAGAACCCAGTCTAACTACTTGGGACCTATTGTTAAGGAATGATTCAATCCATCCTAATAATGGGTTACTTATTCCTAAAGAGTTTAGCTTATTTATTAGAAGCAAATGGTCAACGCGGTCAAAGGCTTTGGATATGTCGAAGTAGATGACTAGTACTAGTTGTTGTTTGTCTCGGCTGCTAGTTATATAGTTAAAGAAGTCAAGGTGACATGTCATGCATGATCTGGATTTTAGGAATCCATGTTGGTTTGGACTTAGAATATTGCAGCTGAGCATATGTTTGAGGATATCATCTGTAACTATTCTTTCAATGATTCTAGATACTATGGGTGTAATATTGATTGGCCTTTAGTTGTTGACCTCAGTTTTTGATCCGGATTTGTGTTTAGGTACTATAAATGTCGTTTTCCATTTA